ACCGGCGCAGCATCGGTCGATGACGGTACCCGGTTCGCCACCGCGCCGCCGCACGGCTGGCCGCAACGGCTACCCGACCCTCTCGCTGGCCCAGCTGCCAGCCGGCACGGAAGCCAACACGCCGACACACGCTGGAGCGCCCCAGATGTCCTCGGTCCTCAGTCCTGCGGCCCCGCTAGCGACCACGTACAACCCGGGCGATGTGGTGCTCGATTTCCCGCAGATGCGTCTGCCGCGCGCGCATTCCCGCTCGCATTCCCAACGCCTTTTATCGACCGTGGCCGACGGCACGGGTCACGCCTCGGCACCCAGGAACGGATCGGCTTCCGGCGCGTCCCGCATCAAGCGCAGCGCGGCCCCTCGCCAGCCGATGCGTCTCACCTACCGGCTGATTCTCTTTTCGGTGGGGTGCATCTTCCTGTTCAAACTGATCTGGTCCCTCGCCACGACGTTACCTGAGGCCCCGCCGGGCAGCCCGCCCCTGACGTGGCCTTCGCACCTGGCAGACCTCAAAGCGCAAGCCGATCTGATGCGGTTGTACGCTCGTGAGCACTTCTATCATGTCCTGGCGTTATTCACGACCATCTACCTGGCCAAGCAGACGCTCCTGATCCCGGGCTCGGCGCTCGCCAACTTGGCGGGCGGTATCATGTACGGTCCGTGGGCGATTCTCTATGTGTCGTTTTTGACAGCCATCGGTTCAGCATTCTGCTACGGCCTCAGCTACTGGCTGTTTGGCGAGGCGTTCTTTGAACGCATCATGGGCAAACGCATGGCGTACTTCCGTCGCATGATCGATGAGCAGAGCACGCGATCCACAGGCAACAGCACGGAGGCCGCGCCCTCGATGGCGTATGCCCACCACTCGGCACGTACCGTCGACCCGGCGATCACTTCGTCGGGCTCGCTCGATTCAGCAAGCTACGCGAGCCAGCCCAGCGAAGCACACGTCGTGCGCGCCCAGCGTGAACGCCGTCTTCGCCGCCAGCAGCGCCGCGATCAGCGGCGTCGCCAGCAGCACCAGCAGCTTCGTCACGCCTCCCTTGACAGCGAGTCTAGCGCTGCGGCGGTGGTCATGCTGACCGATGCAGCTGAAGCCTCCGCTGCGGCGGTGGTCGCTGTGGCGTCTTCGTCATGTCGCACGCGGTTGGGACGCGCCCTGTTTGGAAGCCCTCAACTCTTTCAATACCTCATGTTCATTCGGCTTTTCCCGTTCTCGCCGAACTGGTTCCTGAACCTCGCGTCGCCGTTTGCCGGCGTGCCCATCGGTCCCTTCGCCATGACGGCCTTCTTGGGTCTGATGCCGTACAACACGGTATGTGTCCAAGCCGCCGCCACCCTGAGTGAGGTGGAGAGCTTCGCTCAGATTCTCAACGGCCGTGTCGTGGCTGAGCTCTGCCTCGTCTCAGGGCTCGCGTTGCTCCCAGCGGTGCTCGGCGGCCGTGTCCGCACCTGGCTCGGCATGGCACCTGTCGCGGCGGCGAGCCTGGCGTCCACCGAGGGTATGGCCCCCTTGGCGACCTCGGACTCAATGGCGTCGCTAGATGCCGGTGCGAGTTTGGAAGACCCGGAGCTGGGCCTCGCCTCGCGCTCGATGACGCGCTTGCGCGTGCCAGAGATGCACCGGATCACGACATCCTCCTCGCCCCGCTTGCGCGCGGCGACGTTCACCCATCCCACCTCCACGACTCACATGGAGAGCCCGTTGCCCTCGCACCTGGCGCCCCCGGCAGCGCCTGGCTCGACCATCTCGACGGCCTCAGCGATCTCGGCGGGTTCGACAGCATGGTCGCAGTCGGGCCTTGCGGACCCGATCTCATTCCACAATGCTCCCGCCGCGTCGTTGGTGATGATGGGCCAGGCCGCGTCGTGGCCGCTGCAAAGCGCGGCAGATGCCGCTGACAGCTACTTTGCGACCCAAGACTCTGAAAACGAGGACCGGCTGGGCCGGTCTCTGGGCGTTGATGGCTGGAGCCTCGGCGGTGGCGCCGACGCTGACGTCGACATTGACGTCGATGCGGACACCGCGACGATCTCGCCAGCCAACACGGTCTTGGAGTCGTACACAGCCGGGACGCCCAGTGCGGCCATGCAGCCGGATGCCACCCTGCCGTATCACCCGACTGAGGTTGACGCGATCCTGACAACGAGCATGCGGGACGATGCGGATCCGATGACGCTGGGCAAGCCTTTGGCCTTGCCATCGCCGCGGGTGGTGCCGGTCCCCCACGGCATGCCGGTCCCCATGCCGATGCCCATGGCGGTGCCGCCTGGCCCCTCGGCCCACGTGTAGTCCCGCGCGGGCCCCTGCCCTTCCTCCTGCTTGTCAGGTTTCAGATGACTCGCCAGTCGTAGTGTCCGTGGTCGCCCTAGCTTGTCCATCCATCTCCGTTTTTTGCTATGTGCTGCTGTATGCTCTATTATCGCTTCCCACGCGGCCACAGAGCATGAGTCGTTCTCCCTCCTTGTCTGGTATGTCTTGCATTCATGGTGTGATAGACGCTGAGGGACAGCCTAGACGCACTGTTCGTCGCGCGCGCGCGCCTTATTTTTGTATTTAACTACGCTTTGGTTCGTCGAACGCGATCCCGGGTGTGATGATCCCGGTCATCCGTGTCGACGGATTGCGGAAATTGTTGCATGGATGCACCGCGATATCGCGTGGGTCCCGACGATGATGTTGAGCCGGATCGCGGGGTCTCCCAAGATCGCTGATGATAAAACGGGGATTAAGTTAAGGGTGAGGAGAAGTGCACGACAGTGCAGTGCAGTGAAAGAAAAACAGGAAAGATGCCGCGCTCACGGAGCGTCGCGATGTGGGCTCTCGTCAGCCGCGAAACTGATGGCTTCGTGCCGCAGGCCATCGGCACCCGCAGTGGCCACGAACCGTGACTCGGGCGCTTCGCGCACGGCAGAACTATGACGCATCGAGGACAACGCCCGTCGCGGCCGGCGATGGAGACGGGCTTTACACGGTGGTGAACACGCCCTGGAGCGCCTTGACCTCCTCAAAGGTCTCCTTGTAGCCATCGATGGCCTCGCCGGCCTTGATCTCGTCCTTCTTGGACTTCTTGGCGTCGGCCTTGGCAGCCTTCTTCTTGCCGACGGCGCCAGCCGTCGGGAAGACCATCATACACGACGACGGGCGCTTCGTGTTGCCCGAGAGACCGAGCTCCTCCTTGGAGGGCACGTAGATGTACGGGACGTCGGCCTCCTCGCACAGGAGCGGGACGTGAGTCATCACGTCGACCGGCGAGATGTCCCCCGCGAGGACGACCATGCCGCCGCAGCCGCGGGCGAGCCACGGGTTCGCCTTGATCTGGGCCGGCGTGGCCGAGCTCTGCTTGCGCAGGTGCTTCACCACCTCCTTGAGGCCTCGCTTGACCGAGCGCGCCTTCGTGCAGCGCTTGACGGTCTTGAGAACGCGGCGCGTCAGCACCTGCGAGGCAAGCGGCTGGGCGAGCGGCGCCACAGCCGCCACGCGAGTCTCATAGGAGATTTCTGCGGCGGGAGCCTCGGCCTCGGGCTTCACGGCAGCGACCTTTTTGGACTCTTTGGACTCCTTCTTGGCCTCCTTCTTGGAGTCCTTCTTGGATGACTTGCCCATGGCGATGGCGAGTGCGATAGCAGTGAAACAGGGAAACAACGGCTGGGCAAGAAAAGAACAGGACGACTCGGAGACAGCACACTCTGGCAAATACGCTTAAAAAGAAACGGGGGTGTCGGTCGTCAAGGGTCGGCGGTCGGGAGGGAAAGAGTGCCAAAGGTATTTCGAGCCAGTATGGTCTGCAACTTTGCGAGCCTCTCGTGTGTTTATACAATTGTGAGCGGGCTATCGCTCACCAGGGGTCGAGTCTTATCCTTAACAACCCGATGCGATGCATCACCAGCGGAACTGATCCGGGCCAGCAGGCCCCGGGCATCCGGCCATGTCCGGACCAGTCCACGGCTCGATACAGCATACCGTGGCGCGAGCCAGACGAGGCTCGAGCCCAGTAGGAGTGCAACGAGCAAGCCGATAGCGAGCGGCAGCGTCACCTCCTTGCCTGTAAGCGGGCCGCTCCTGTTCCGACTCGCCAGGCCACTCGGCGCGGTTGCTCGGCCACCAAGGACAGAGTCGCACCGCCGTGGCCGCTCGGTCGCGGTCGCTCCGCCGGTGTTGCTCGGCCAATGCCAGACAGAGAGGGGCACCAGCGCCAACTCCGCCGAGCCATCGCGCCTCCACGGGGGAAAGGGGAAAAGATGCAAAAGTCCGACCTGGTCGGCAAAAGGACCCTCACGGCCCCTCACAGGCCGACCTGACACTGGTAAAAGGCGACGGATCACACGCCAGCGCGGAACATCGGCATCGACGGCGTCGGTCGGTATGACTGTACTCTTCGAGGCCTCACACCGACAGATATGAACGTCGACCAGGGCATGAAAGCAAGTGCTCTGTTGGTGGCGAGTTTGCAATGAGCTGCAGAATAAGGCCAGTGAGCGGCATCACCCGATTTTCTGCGCCTGAGCAAGCGCTTGCCAGATCCTTGCCAGATCAAATCTCGCCCCGTCTTTTACACCACCTCGGCCCCTTTATCCCGTACTCGGCATCCCAGAAGTTGTCATCGATCTCCGACCCAATCCATCCGTGACTTTTCTCCAGCACATTTACTCCTCGGTGTCACGCATTACTCCCTCAGGATCCTGGGAATCATTTCAAACCGAGGAGTCCGCGGCTACCATGTCGAAACACGAAACAGGACAACCACTGTTCCAATCAAGGTTCTCGAAAACATCTCCATCAGCATGACGGCTTATCCATGGCACTGCAACACCCCATTGGGTATGTCTCACAATGCAACGGTATTAAACTACCTTGCGCTGGATCCCCCTCGCAGTCTTTTCCGCCTTGAGAAAAGGTTGACTCCTTCAGAGTGGCGTGGTTTTACCGCATGACTCCATACAGCACGATCGACATAGTTTCAGCCGAATACCTAACACACGAAACTCGTGAAAAATAGAGCCCGATACGGGACTCGAACCCGTAGCCGTACGATTAAAAGTCGTACGCTCTACCAATTGAGCTAACCGGGGCTCGGCTTTTTTGTCGGCGCGTTCCTGAACAAAGCGCCTCCTCCCGCCATTCCTATTTTAGGAACTGGCGCCCTCGGCATCTGGGGTCTTCGCCAGCCATTATGCATCTATGGATAGTTGTGGACGT